TTTCTCCTTTAATTAGAAAATTAATCTACAACTTGAGAAAACAAAAGAAAAGCAAGATTCTGAAAGGAGGAGAAGATTAGCTGAAGAGAAGCACAAGGAGTGGGTGCAAAGAAAAAAAGAAGAGGTAACTATTGCTTTGGCTGTAAATATTATAGCTTTTGATATGCTTTAGCAAATCTATGTGAAATTTGCTCAGGCTTTTTGGGCAGCCATCTTTTTGTTTTGCTGAAGAGTGACTGTTTTAATTGAAAATTATGAAATCATAACAGCAGAGTTTCTGACCGCTTCCCCTCCCCCTTCCATGAGGTATAAAGGGATTTGTTTTCTAAATAGTCACTGACAACTGAGTTATATGTTGTCAAATGTTCTGCTGAATATACCTGGGGTTGTGGTCTTCAGTACCTACCCTTTCTGATTTCGTAGGTTCAGTGCCCAAACATTTTGGGCCAAGTGCATGTTTGAACTGTGTGCAATGTCTTGTACACTGAGTAGAGCCAGAAGTAGGATTTATTTAAGTACCATTGCGGACAGGCAAATAAGAGGGTAGAGTCAAGAGGGATAATTGAGGTGTGAGGCCTGATTCAGGAAATTCTCAGTAGACCACAGATAGCAATTGGGAATTCCTTCATCCAAAATGCTGTTTCTGAGTGGGATCAAAAAATCTTTTAAGTCCTCTCGAGAGGATGATTAAGAGCAGGGTCAGAAGCAGACAGAGTCCTGATCTCAGCAGGGCACTGTGCAGCTCTGTGTCACACGGATGAGCCAAGCACACTAGGTGGCAAAAATGGTAACGTTTGGGAGGTCTGGGCTTCCTCGGACACTGGTAGTGTCTGTAACAGTGCTGTTTTCTTGCTGTTCCATACTTTTGATTCTGGAAAATTTTGAATAAAACCAGATTAAATCTGATTGAAAGGAATATACCAAAATATATTGACAGTTTTTCATATTCAGACCTCATGTATTTGTCCTTGCTGGCTCGGAACTCTTTATTCTTCTCTTGGATTCACTCTAACCAATAGAAAAACCTGTGTTTGGATCTCAGCTCCCAATTTGTTTAGCCTCAATAGTGACTGGAGAACTGGCCTTACATCCCCTATCAGCACCACAAACAGCTTAAACATTTATTATGATGTAGAAAGGATACTTTCTTATTAAAATACACAGCAGAAAGGAAGAGATTTATCATTCAGCACAATGTCATTTTGCTCTGTTAAAACACAAATTACAACTGTCCAACTATTTGTTGGCTTGAAAGAATTTGGACTGCCTTCTAAAAATGTCTGTTCACATTCCAAATTAATGGAAGTTCCTGTTCTCTGTCTCTCTCCAAGCGTTTTCTGTAAACTTCTACTTACTGGGTCTTCCTTGTACTATTGTTGTGGGTTTACAGATGAGCTTCCTGCTCTCTGTTGCAAATGAAAATAGGTCTTTTTGGTAAACACATGAGCCCAGAGAACAGGGGAAAAACATATTTGTGTCTGGATTTTTATATATTGTCTTTTGGAAGGATAAGGTCATCCTTAGGCCATGGCCCAAGCTTTTACCAAAAGTAATTTGATTTTCATTTAAGTCAGATGAATCATTGGCTAGTCTTTTTCTGTAAACCACACTCAGATCAAGGATAAACTAAAGTTAGAAGCTTAGATGTCTTTAGGGTATTAACGTTTGTGCTGCATAGTTCATACTACTTCAAGTTACCCAAAGATTATTTGTGGATGTGAACACAGACTGCAGGATAAATATATGAACTGGGTTACTAAGAAGGTGTCTACAGTTGGCCAAAGTTTTCACGGTAAGTTGAGATCCATGAGCACTAAAATGAATTTCTTGGGGAGCCAATCTCTGATATTTGGGAAAGCTACTTTATTTTTTCTAGAGGCATCAAAAGTTGCTCTTTCTTTTGGCAAAGCTTGCAGCCTCTTTCATTTCCAGGTACTGATTGTGAGACCTGTATTTGTAGATAGCATAAAATACAGTAGCTTGTTTTTTTTTGCAAGTGTTATCTCTATGAAGTCCATAAATATCTGTCCATCCTCATGGCTTAATACTGTATTGATGAAGGAGGTAAGAGGTGAAAGAGGGTGCGTAAAGCTTCTTTCCTCCTCACGAGCATGAAGTCTTTGTGCAACTGCAGGAGATGCTGCTGGGATTGATGAGCCTACACACCTAATGTGTTTGGAAGCTCTCTGCATAGTGGCTTCATGGTGACTTCACTATTTAATATGCCTCCATGTAGTAGCTTTTGTGATTTTAGAAGTTGTTTATGAATTAGAAATAACATGTCAAAGTACTGAGCTACAAAAGAACATTTAAAGCTATAAGATAAGCTTCTGCTGATATTAGAAAATTTTGCAACTCACTAGGTATTAAAAGCTTAATAAAATAAAAGCAAATCAATTGTCAGATGCTGGTGTCCTGTTTCTGCTAACAGCTTTGTAAACTTTCAGTAAGATACCAGTTCTCTGTGGAAGAATAGCCTTATCATTTGTGTGTAATACTAAACTTCTGCTTCAGCATTACTTTTAGATTTATGGATAAAAATGAGCACGATTATAATGGCACGCTTATAAACACTCAGCAAGCAAGGTTTTGTTCCATGTCATGTTTTCATTATCGGCCTTAGTTTGAGAGGGGTTTGAAGTGACTTTAGGACTGGACGTAGTAAAATGTCCAGTAACAAAGCCATTAGAATCCCTCATAATCTTTCTTGTGTGTTAAATTGATTGCTTGATTATTAATTCCAGTATTTAGACTCCAGGTTGTAAGGAGTGCTGTGTGATCAAGTTATAATTGAACTGTTGATGTATATAAAGAAAGGAACTGATATTGATCCCCTTGACAGAGGCCGAAGTCCTGAATAGGTATTGAAAACCAACTGTTGTCTCATTTCATCAGGTCAGAATTAATGTTTGTAAAAGCTCATTTTCTCTGTGTGTCTTCTTTCTGGCACTTTTTATAAGTTTAAAGTGTCTTTTTTTATATTTATTTTAATGTCAGTCTCTGCTGTTGATTTGCATTCTTATATCTATATGTATATATTCAATAGGGAAGTAAGTCGATCTCTCTTTTGTATTAATAAGTAAGCTGCTTTTCTACTGCAGTTTTGTGTTTTATCAATAGAATTTTGAAAGACTCTCTTAATATCCTTCTGATAATTCTTTACTATCTCATGGGATAGTGGTGTTTTTTTTTTTAATTTTTCTTTTTCTTTAGGGAAAAATGTCCTGATTTCACTGGCAATGGTAGGTTCTTCCAAGTTCATTAAAAGCGTACGGTTTGTTCAAGTTCGAGAAGTATAGAAGTCAGTGTTCAGGACTAAACTCATACTTTGAAAATATTGAGAAAATATTTATGTTAGGCTTTGGAAAATTTCTAAAATATTTGCCTGTAAAATATTCAGTGTTGGACTGATTTTGAAAATCTGTTTGTGGTTTAGCATTGTCTTTTTTTTTTTTTTTTGTAGCTAGATGTTTTCTTAGAAGTTGATTTTATTTAGTGCAGCAGTGTGGTTTAGTATGTTTGTGCTGTCGATAAGCACCAAGTCAGAAGCTCATCTGATGGACAGAAAGATAAAATGTTTGAAGGGCCAAAAAAGGACCTTCTCTGAGTGGAACGAACTTGAAATTTGTAGTGAAGCTGGAGCCCTGACATAAAGAATGGCAAGATTAGAACACACAAAAGTTTATTGTACTGTTTCTTGGCTTTATGCTGATAGGTTAAATTCTGTTGTTCTCCATCACTGAGTAAAGTTTTAAAAAAAAATCTTGGTCTTGGAATGACTGGGATTGATGAGCCTACACACCTAATGTATTTTGAAGCTCTCTACGTAGTGGCTTCTTGGTGACTTGTGTAGTGCCAATGTATTTTTGCTTGACAAACAAACATTACAGGTTTGTGACTGTTTGACTTAGCAAGCTGTAGATGATGTCTCGATTATTTACAGACCTGGGTGAATAATAGCTAAAGGAGGGAGATAGAAAATGCTGCTTATGTGCCTTCAAGATGTTTAGGAATCCCTCTCTGGTTCCTTCCAAGAGTGCTTTGCACTTATATTTATCCATGCAGATAAATATTAGATATGATTACAAAACTGTGTGTAGGTATAAGATGTCCAACAAAAATATGATAGATGACATGGTAGATGCTCAGAGCTCACCACTCATTCCTCTGCATAAGCATTTGATGTCCTACCTGGTGCATTCTGCATAGGAAACGGATTCAGTTCCAGGTTCCTTCAGTGTGACCAGACACTGGTTCTGCCTCATGATAACTTCAGTTTGTTCTGTTCGACTTCAGTTCAGTGGAAGTGTCTTGGAGGTGCTAGTAAAAATCTTCTCTTTTCTTTTGAAAAGTATGTAAGCTGCTGTGTGAAGTTGGTTTGGTTTTTTGCCCTCATTACTGTTGAATTAATTAAAGAAATACTTAGCTGCCTTCTAGGGTTTGTTATTGCTACTCATCTCCCAAGAATGAGGAGCAGCAGGGAGAAATCCTTGCTAGAGTTTGGTTTCTAAAACCTTTGTCTTTTCTAGACTTCTTATCTTCTTCTTTCTTAGGGGTATTTCTGGAGGGAACGGAGAATGGATTTGATTTTGAATTGTTACACAGTCTCACATTAAACATTCTTATCTGCAAAATAGGGGCACAGCCTCTGTGTTTATAGTTTGCAAACATAATTTGGGTTGAAGGCTTGCCACCTATGAAGAATGCTGTCTTTGTCAGCACTATTTCTGAAGAACCGCGATTATATTTGAGGTGCTTTCTATTTTTTTTTCCTATTTTATATGAACTTTTGATCCTGAAATGTGGAGTCTTTGTGGTTCCTATCAACAACGTATGATTGGACACTTAAGGTCTTATTCCAAAGACTTTCTATTTAATACATACTTCATGTAACCACTGCTAATGCAGAATGCAATTTGTTCTGCAGCCTGAGCATAACTTTCAAGCTTACAGAGCCAAGCCTTTCTTTCACCTAATGAATATTTATTTTCTACAGAGTTGTACTGCTTCAGCACAAGGGGTGGAGAGCCCTGTCCTCCCAGGCCACAGCCTGGTAGGCAGTGTGTTCCCGAGAGTGGGGCATGTTGTTTGAATCCCCTCGGGCAGAGGAGGAGGGAACGACATGGGGCTCCTCCGGTCCTAGGTTGATGTTCGAGCAGCTGAGCTGCCATTCAGGGGTTGCTGCCGCATTTTGTGCGAGCCTGATCGGTGCTAGAGGCTGTGCTGGCAGCTTACACTTGAAAGAGGTGTCGAGTTCTTCACTTTCTTAAAGACTGAAGCCTTTCAAGAAATATAGTAATGGGGGAAGCATAGATACCTGGCATAAATGCCTTTCCACCTTGAGAGCCAGCTGCATGTAAGAATTTGAAGTTTGTCTTTAACTAAGCATTTTTGTGACTCTGGGCTCAGTTTCTTTAGTATTTTTTTCCCATGTTGTCAATTTTTTCCCTCTGAAACACTTTACAAACAGTCTTTTCAACACTGTCGATGTCTCTCTACACAGAAATTTTTGTGTGCAATTGTGCATGTGCACAATCATTCGTTATACCATGGGCATAATGTTAGCATATGGATCTTGCTTGTCCAGGCATGCCTACAAATTCTCATGTTGAGTTTTACAAATGATTTTTAGATAGTCTCACAGAGGAGGAATTCAGTGCTTTGTTTTTCAGAACAGCTTTCGCGTGGTTACGAGGTGAGGCTCTTGTGACCACCAGGAGGAGAGTGCTCAGGCATCGCATATGCCAAGACAGTGGAATGACCCAGATTGCTGAGGCTGTGAAATGTGATTGATGGTCAGGATTCTTGTGAGGATAAACAAGGAAATTTGTTTTTTTTTCCTTGACACGCTAATAGTTCTGCAGAGGAGACACTGGCTTGGTAGCGACTCCGTGAGACGTATGGTTCCTACTGAGTCACCCGTCGGGCTTCCTGCCAGGGCGGGTTTGCTCTGGGTGGGGGATTTCCAAGCACAGACCTAGGCTAGGCCTTAGTAGGTTGGGTAGGATCACGGCCCAGGGCACTAGGCCTGCGGGCCAGATTTGTATCCTCTCTCCATAATAACGTGCTTGGGTGGGGTGGCAGGAGAACAAGCCTGTCTTGCACTGAGTAATTGGATGTTTTACAATCAATACCTCCATTTATGTAATAAGTGTAATCGTATTTTAAAGCATATGTAAATGCAATGGTGGTTCAGTGAATAGATAATGCCTGTTTTGAACACCAGATCAAAGAGAATTTTTAAAACCCAATCTGACGACACCGAGCACAAACAAATTGTACAGTTTCCCTTCCCCCCATTCGTATGTGGAAGAGGGATTGAAGAGCATGTATATTATTATGCACATTCCTAGCATTTTTGATGGATTTATATAAGGGAAAGTAATCAAGATGGGGGAGGGCTGGGGTGAGAGGAACTTGACATGCAGCAGCTCATTAAAGCAGCTGGGTTTGCAGTGTATGCTCACTTCGTGAAGGAAAAGTTGCTCTGTGCTGCAGAGGAAGGGGAAGCATCTCGCTGGGTTGCCTGCAGAATGGATCCCATGCAGCTGCCAAGTCTGCAGTTCTGCAGGGGGTCTCCAGCACGTGAGGATGGCTCAGTGGAAGTAAAACTTGGCAAAAGCCCTGGTTTTCCTAGCAGTCTGCATGCTATAGCCCTGTTTGCATAGGGCCCCACTCAAACATCCACCTCTGTATGGAAGGACCTGACTTTTTCATTTTTCTCCTGTATTAATTTACATGCTTTTTATATGTTAAGAGCCTAAAGACTGTAGCTTTGAACAGTCTGGATTTGGTATTTTTCATATGCACAATGGTGTGACACAGAGTGGAGCGGAGAACAAAAAAGGAGAAATCTTTGTACGCCTCTCCACAAACAGCTCAAACTCCTCATTTTAACATGTAACTCTCATCCACCTTAATACTTTTTATCTGGCCCAGACTATCATTGTCTTAAAATAGGGGTTGAAAGATGCGCGTGGGGAATATTTGATAGTGAAGGCACGGAAGAGCAGCTCTGAACAAAAGAGAACAAGATGCAATTTAGAAGGAGGAGGAAAAGCTTAGACAATAGGTCATTTGTGTTCTTTTTGTTTTTTTCAGGCAGATGATACTGAAGTTCCACATAACTTGCCAAAAAGCAGGACATTTTTACTCTAGCTATTTGAACACAAAAGGTTTTGTTTCACGTTCAGAAAGGTCTTGTTTCCTTTCTTCAGGAATACAGAAACATTTTTTTTTCTTCCAGAATGAAGTGCTTTTTTGATTGGTCATAGTTGTGATTGTGGTTGTCATCATGTGTGTAGACCTTCAAATCAGATTAATCAGACTTTTTTTCTTTTGTAGTTTTACATTCTAGTCTATACATTGAAGCTGTATTTTTGTGTCTGTGTGTCTGACCATTTTCCCTGCCCCGCAGAATGGAGTTGGCTGTTGTTTCCTAGAATGCACTGGAGGTAAAATGAAAATAAAATATGAGGTGAAAATGTAATTCTTAGCTAATGTTTAGGAAATCGACTGCTGTGTGTACACAACTGTTTGTTGTCTCAGTGGTACTGAGAGTTATCATCATAGAGTAAGTGAAAACATACACATCTGAGAGAGGTTATGGCAAAGAGAGTTAAAAAGGCATGACTTGTAAATGGGGGGAAAAGAGTTAATGCATAATCCAGCAGCTGCTGCTAAAATTCTGGTATTGCTTCTCTGCCAAACACAGATAGGGTCACGCTAACTCTGTAATGCTGTAAACTGGCTCCTTCAGATAAGAAATCTGCAGTTTAGCTTTATGACACGACACTGGAAAAAAAGGAATGCCAAGACTAAATGAAGTTCATGCTTAAAAATGCTTTGCAGTGAGCATCATGATTCCCTTATCAAGACAATTTTATACAGCATGGGTAAGAATCCAAATGTGATAGCATTTATTAGCCAGTACTATTTCTTACAGTAAAAATGCCAAAAGCTTTAAAGAGAAAATGCTTCTCTCATTATTGTCTCTGCACCTCATTGCATGAACGGCAGGAAGGAGCTGGTGTTTTGCAGAGTAAGGGGAGGTAAGGGCTTTATTCTGTATGATGGTACCTCGGGGGGGTGCTGATGAGTTTTGGTGTGAACAGCAAAGACTGACTGTCTTGTTTCAACCAGACTGAGGGGATTGCTGTGGTCCCCAGCTCCAGTGTCATGGCTCCAGCTTCTTCTTGCGTAATTGGTGTTTTCAGAGTTGCCATAAATCTTGAAGAAAGGAGTTAGGTGGAAACCGGCTTCCTGCCTTTTGTGCTTATAAGATGCAAGACAAAGGGAAGTGCAGTCCTGTTCTTGTAACTGTGTTTTTCCTCTTATGCATAAAGGTCCTATTTTCAAGACTAAGTTTTAAAAGAGTTTGCAATACCACCCCCCCCTGTTTTTTTTCCAGGGTTACAATGAATTATTTGTAGTTCTCTGTGTTATCACAAGAAATATACTGAAAATTTTTGATTTTTTTCTTTGATCTCTTTCACTTAGGAAAGAAGGGAAAGGGAACGAAAACTGAGTAAAGAGATGGCAGAAAAAGCCACAAGGGAACTAGAAAAAATGCAGTTACAAGAAAAGGCCAAATTAAAGTATAAAGAATGGTTAAAGAAGAAAAGAGCTGAAGAGTCAGAAAAGAAGAAGAGAGAGAAGGTATTAGTCATTTATTTTGTATGACTTTATAACTTGCATTAAATATGTTGATTAACTAAATTGGTGGGAATTCATCAAACGTCCGTGTTGTGCACAAAGAACACTTTATAAAGTTATAATGTTAGTGTTGAAGACATTGAGAGATGGCTGGTAAAACAAGATGCGTTTTATTCGTATTCTTTTTTTTTTTTTCATATTGATTAAGCACTTCTTTATAGCAAGTTTAAAAGATCTTTCATATGTCAGGCTCCCTAAGAAGCTTCCTAAAATATAGGCTTTAAGGTCTGCTGTTTCACTCAGGTGAACATTCTAACGAAACCATGATTTCATGCATCACCCAGCATTCCCCTCAGGTGTTACACGGGGGTAGTAACTGTGCCTGGAACCTATGAAAAATGCTAGATGGGACTGGATCTGTTTTACTCTGACTGTTGATTGTGTTTCGATTTACTTAACGTTACAGGACACTTTATCAATGGAATATGTAAGAACAAAGAAATACTGCCTTACTATAGTGGTTAAATATGAGGAGTAGCATTCAAGTGTGAGGAAGGATTTTGATTAGTAGTAGTACAGTGGGTTTTTTTTTGTTTGTTTTGTTTTGGAATGCAGAATACATTAGTAAGTATTTCATAAGTCTATATAATAACTTATTTAATTTTAAAATTCCATAAGCTATATCAGATCACTTTTAAGACCTTGATGATCTTAATTTTGCAGACTTGTCACATGTCCCATATAATTAAAACCCACTTAAATATTCTGTACTAGCTTGTTTATTTTTTGCTGAAAAAAGTGCTGCTGTGTATCTACTGAACCTTCAAGCACACAGCACAAGGAACTTTTAAAACCTAAGAAAATGGAAGTCTTGAGAAGGGATTTAAACCTTACCTTCTTTTAGTTCTCTCTTCTTTAAACTGTAGTTAAATTCTCAACCTTCCTTCACAGTTTTAGTTGAGCTTGTTTAGATCCACTCACAATGCCTATGCATGCTACCTGTGCTCTAAATACAGATTAATGATTCCCCAAATTGAATTTTCTGCTATGTGCTTAGCGGCAACCCAAATTTGGCTGAGTTAGGGCTGCGTGAAGATGAGTGAATTGAAACACTGGATGGCTGTCCGAGATGCAGTTGTTTCTTTAAGCTTACCAACTACAGTGCAATAGGCTGGGAATGTATTTGCAGAAATGTGTTTGTATAATATTGTACAAGATTTTGTCTGTAGGTCTTGGATGTTTTGATTTTTAGGAAAAGGAAAAACAAAGGCAAGCTGAGCTACAGGAGAAGAAAGAGAGATCAGAGAAGATCTTTAAGGAATGGCTACATAACGCTAGAAATAAAGCACGCCCTGTTTTAAATGGCCATAGCTACCCACATGGGAAGTCTACAGGTTTGTACTTTTATAGGCATATAGTGACTTAAGTTTGTAGTTCCCTTCCCTCTAATCGTTAATGTAAAATGAAGCCTGTTTTAAGTTTTCATCCAGGATCTAATTTTGACACTTGGGAATAGCTAGCCCATATGGTTTAAGTTAGAGAGTCTTTTACTGTGAGATCCATTGTGTGTTTTTCATAGCCCTTCAAGTTATTTGAGAAGAGAAGAATGTGGCAAACCAAAGTATAATTGATCTTAATCTTGTTAGGTTCCTTATCAGGCACAGGAATCACTGGAGCCAGTTACTGGTTCCTGTGAAACATATCAGCCATACTGGCATCTTTCTGAAGTTACTTTAGGTACCCTGTTATGGTACCTGAATCCCCCATAGCAGAAGTGCCTTTTGGAGATGGAGAGCCTGATAAGAGCATGGCAGAAACCCTGTCTCAAAAAGGAGCCTTGGCAGTCCTTCTTCATTCGGAGCTAAATTTCCTTTCCATGCATCTCGGCATTTTTTTCAAGGAAAAATGATGTATGTTTTCGTGTCTTTTCATAAAGTTAAAATCATAGTTATTATTTGAATTCGGAGCAAAATGTTTTGAAACCTAAATTCCACCCAGCCAGTTGTTCTCCTGGTTAGGATTGATTATGGATGGTGATGCATGTGGCTTTCCTGTTTTCTTCTGGAAAGTCATTACTTCCAAACAGCTGCCATCACCTGTCGAAGTGAGTTCTGCTTCATTCTCGGTTGTGCTCATGCAGCAGACTACATCCTAGAATTTGTTTTGTCCATGCTCGTGAAGTGTGTTGAAATTTGACTACACACACACACAACTGTGAGGGTAGCATGTTCCTTCTGTCCTGTTTAGCTTTCTGATATTGCTTTGTGCACTACAGAGTATTAATTGTAGGTAATTAATGTAGATTTCTTCTCAATAAGCAGAAGAATAGCAGTTAAGGGACGTGGAAAAATATGTGAATTTTACATATGTGGTGAGACGAAGTAATATTTATAAATGCCTCAGAATTTTGAGCAGTAGCAAAGTAGCCATTTTATAGAGGCTTTCATCATCTAAATATACAAAGTGCTGAGCATTTTGAATTTTGCACGGTATTTGACAGTCTTTTTTTCTAATGCAAATGAAAGATTGGTTGTTTGTAAAATGGGAGTCAAAGTTTTGTCGCTTTGTGACCTGCCTGTTCTCTCTTCCCTGAAAGATGTTATTGTTTTTGCTAGTCTGGATTAGAAGTGTAATTGCTTGTGGTGCAAAGCTTGTAATACAAATATTCTTTTTTAATTCTGTGTATTTTCTAACTATTTTAGGGTGTTATGATGGAATTTCCTATCCAGCTCCAGCATACTGTAACCCCATTCCTTGGAAACCAATACATGTACCTCCTCCAAAGGAAGATGGTAGCGTTAGCGTGAAGAGCAGCAAGAGAAGTGCATACCCTCAGTCACGTAGATCTTCACCTATGGTCATCTGTAAGCCCCAAACCACTTGTTGTGTAGGATCCTTACATAGAAAGCAGTTATAGTACAGAAACCAACATCACTGTGAAAAGCTCGAGGGAACTGGGTCACAAGTGTGTAATTATACATCCAAAGCTTTTTTTTTAAAAAAAAACAAAAACAAAAAAAACCCACAACTTTTGTGAACAGGCTTTGTATTGAATGTTAATTAACCAATCACCTTATTATCCAAGGGTCTTTCACATGTTGAGTTTTATTGAAAAGTCATATTTAGGCAATTGAAACAGGACTGTACTTGGATACCAATAAAATGTACATCATTGTTGCTCTCTTTCCTCACCTACTTTCTGGGGGCGTGAGGGTGAAGGAGATTGTTGCACATGGGGCTTTTCTTTTGGGCAGTGAGATTAGAAGATTATTCTAAAGATGCTAGTTGCAAGAGAGTTGGAAGCAATTCTAGCCTTGATGGGGGAGGGATTTGAGATGTCTTTGGGATGGCAGAGGTTACTCGCACCACGAGTGCTGCAGTGGATGCGAACAAAGTGGATGTCCATTATGCGGGAGAGCAGCAGGATTGCCTCAGGAATTCCTCAGGAAGCAGCAGGTGAGGCTTTCTTACAGGACAAGCCTCACATTCACAGGTCCTGATGGGAGGACTTCAACCTCCCTGTTATTTGCTAGAAGAGCAGATCAACACAGCAGTCTGGGAGGTTTCTGGAGCATCTCAAACAATCTCAGATATCAAGTTTATATTTAAAACATTACTCTCACCCTTACTCTGAATGAATTAGTTTATACAATAGGCTCATATGACTTCTTTCAAGGTAATGCCAAATGCTAGCAGCAGTCTGCAGCGTCTTAGAGTTGTTTAGTTCTTCTTTCTGCAATATAAATAATCGTGAACATAAAATATTGTTTTTCATCAGAAGAAACAGATTGGAGAAATGCTTTAGATAAAGAGCATTTATCTTTAATTGTATTATTTTGTGACAGTAGTGGCTAAAAGTCTTAACTAAAAATGAGACTGCTGCATGCTGCAGAACTGAATACAAAGTGAAAGCCCCTTTTCGCACTCGAAAGTCCATCATTAAGTTGACAAAACAAACAAAAGCCAGAAAGGCAACTGGAGACAAAGTGGAAGAGGTGGCTTAGAAACAGCAGGTCAGGATCTGAAACAGGACTGATTCTCAGAGAACTAGACTGTTTTACTTTTCTTCTAAGGAAACAATTTTCTATATCAGGAATTTTTAAATGCTGTTCCACAGCTTCTCTGGACAGACTTTTCCAATGTTTACCTGTTCTTGTGATGAAGACTTTTCTTCTTATATCCTGGTGAAATTTCATCTGAAACAGCTCATCCCCATTGCTTCTTGCCAGTCGCATGTGCCCTCAAGAAGAGACACCCTGTCTTCTCCCTCACTGCCTTGTAGGTGTTGGGAGACTGTGATTAAATCTACATTGAATCTTCTCTTCTGAAAAAAACACATTTTGTTCAGCCTTAATTCCTGTGTCAAGTTTTCCAGCCCTCTAATCATCATCTATCCACGGTGATTAGGAAGGAAGTGTAGGAGTTGCTCTAGTGTTTATGCCGTTGCTATAGGTTGTTCTATCTGATAGATGGTATTTTCTGGGTTATCTGACAGAAACATCAAAAAATGCAAAAACTCTCATCTTTTTGAGCTTATAGCTTCCATTTTGGGGAAACTGTAAATAACACATAGCAGGGAAGTATGTAATTAACTTAGAAAAAAAACAATATACCAGAAAAATATTTTGGGGATTGCTGACTTGTTAACACTGTTACCCTGTATCATTGAAAACTCTATTGCCAATCTGTAATTTAGAGGATGTTTTGAACCTTCAAGGTACCTCTCTCCTACAAAAGGAGAGGAAGGGACAGGAGCGTAAGACTTTATAATCTCCCTCCTCTGTATGTTTGAGGCATCTCATACAAAAGAAAGCTCTAATTAACTGGGGTTGTTAAAAGATTTATGTGCTGATGATCTGTGACAATGTACACAGACCAAAGGTGTAAAACTATTGTTCAACAAGGGGAGAGTAAATATAGTATCTGATCATCTCATTCAGCCTTTAACCATTTCATTGGTTTTATTCTAATCTTCAAGCCAAAACTGTTCTAGCTGTTACCATTCTCCCCTTCTCTGTTTGCAAAATGCAAGTACTTCATTTTTAGCCTTGCCTACTTTTAACGTGACTATTAAACATACTGTGATTGCACAGTGTGTAACAAATGAAACTCAAACCGGATTCTCCACTGATAGAACTCAAGCTCTGGTAAGTGGCCCTGTGGCAGAGAGCTCTTACTGTTTCCATATGTTCCTGGGTATGAGACCAATGTCCTGTGTTCCTCAGTTGATGACTTGTGGCTATCTTCTGGTCTGATGCATTTTGCTTTTGTTGTCACTGAGGTATCCAGGATACCCGGTGATAGGTCTTTTCTTTTTGTTTCTGTAACAACATGCAACTAAAGTGCCAAAGATTTATGGATATGTAATATAGAGCATGAGTGGTCATTATATTAATTAGCATCTGCTAAGAGTGCACAGCTTTCTACAATCTAGTGTCAGTCACAGCACATAGAGTCAAAATTATTAGCCTTTTATGCTGTATTTGTTTAACTTTTTATTTTCCTATTATTCTATGCATAAGCAAAATGAAGACACCTAACTGATCTTCTGACAGGTGACATAAACAAGGTCACTGTTGTGACCTTGTTATCCTTGTTGTATCCCTGTTATCCTTGTTGCAATCTATAAGCATATTCCCTTGATGTTGTGTATAGGTTTTTCCCATATTTCTAGGTATGTCAAACTTCTGGTTCACTGCAGGGCTTTTTGGAGGCAGAAAGCAGTTCTAATGGCTCATGCACCTTTCCCTGCTGTGTGTTTATTCAATATTACTTTGATTGTAAGAATTAGGAGAAATCTGGAGACCTCGAAATATGCTGAGTGTCAGAACTTGCCTGAATTCCCTAGCATCGGGGCAGAGAGGTTTGGTTCAGGAACGGGAACACAGCATTTAGTGTTGAAGTCCAGTAGTTTTCTTCAGGATGCCTCAGCCGGATTAACGGAGCTGAATACTCTCTGAGATCATGGTTTGCACATCTTAGAAAATGCAGATACCTAAACCCATGATTTCTTTTCTCTCCCAGCCCCAAAGACTGACGATATTATTTTACATGGAAAGGTTTATCTTGTCTTCAGAATCAGAATAACACCTTTCACTGGGACAGAGGCAGCTCTAAGTGGTCATATAAACCCCTCAAATAGCAACTTTAAAACAAAAGCCTTTGCTCTAGCTTATCTGTAACATCATAAATGCGGTTCTGCGCTAGTGAAATTAAAAATCAGGGTAAGGCAAGGCAGGTCACGGGGTGCAGATTGGCTCCAATTCAATCAACAGAACGGTTATGCTGAGCAAAGAACAGTATTGCTTTTTTTTTTTTTTTTTTTACATAAAACGCTCTGGCCTTGCAGCACAGTGTAAGATTGGAGGTTACAGAAAAGCTGTAATTTCACACTGCTGCTACAAATACAGCATTTTATTTCTCAGATACTCCTAAAGTACCTCTCCTTTAGGGTATACTCCTAAAGTATCTCTCCTTGATTTCTGTGCTCGTGGAAAGTCACAGAGGGCCAGGGTGCAGAATCTAGAGTTATTTGTTGAATGCAATCCAAGATTTTAGTGTCTATGCGACTAAAATAACACAAGACAAAACCTCGACTGCCTTTTCCGTTTTCATCCCTTGTTCTTGTGGAGCTTCTGGTTCTGAGAATTCGGTTAAGTGAATCAATAGACATTCTGGAAGAATATACCATTAATAGTTGCTCGCTATTATTTTAGTATTGTAGTACAGCACCCCTATTAATGTAACATAATATAGCTTTACTCTATTATGCTCCACTTATCCTGCTGTGCATTAGCTTCTAATAGCATCCTCGCCATGTAAAATTTAATAGTAAGATCAATTTCTTAATTTGCCCTTACTGTCAAAGGCATTGAGGGCCATCAAGAGTCCTGATGCTGATTTCACTAGGAGATTTTGGTGAGTAATTATGGATGATTCTGTGCTTTGCTATTGTGGTCAAAGGGCAAGTGCTCCAGATTGCTCTCCCTTGGGCAAAATGAAGAAGTGGATTTATGCTCAGTAATGAAAAGGGAATCTGAGAAGCCTGATCTAGTAAAGCGTGCAAGCGCTTGATTAACTTGAAACATGTGAGAGAAATCATTGATCAAGCAGGACTTAGGAGCCGTTGTGCTTTCCTGGATTTGAGGCTGAAGAACTCGGGTTCATTCTGGTAGCACAGCCTCTGTTTCGCATATAAAGTTATGCCCACGTTTTTGTGTGTGGAAGGAGGGCATTTTGGCTGAGCTGGGGTCGACTGTATTTTTACAAATGTTTGTGCTTTTGTTTGTTAGTACAGACCTCTGCACTCAGGGTGGGTCATTGTGCTTGTCCATCAGTTTTTCCCTTACACTTACACGCTCTCACACTGCACAAACCTGCTAGTTTTTGTGGTGTGCTTCAAGCCCATGGCTTTTCAGAACTTAGTTCTGTTTCTGTGTTTCATATCCACATTCTTGCACTTCAGGAAGGCAAATGGGAAGTCGCTTTGACTGTGATAAGGTGCTTGGTGTTGGGGAAGTGGGTGATAATCTGACCACAGTCCTGGTTTCATTTGCTAGTAGCACAAAGATAAGGGAGCCATAATTGAGAGAAAGTCCAGAATCCAGTGCTAATGATACAGTGCGAGTCTTTATTTATTTTTAATTGAGCTACTTTTAAAGTCCACATTTAAATGCTGACCGTGATTTTTCCTTCCGTACCAGTTAAGCTGGGCAGCCTCGAAATTGCTAAGATTTTCTGTAATCTCCTGAAAGTGCTGGATGCGCAGCTTGCGTTTCATGAGATTCCAACACAAACGGGTCTTTTGGAAAAAAAAGAAAAACACTCCTTCCTTTTTTGTTATTTCAGGTGGTCTGGGTGCGTAGCTCGTATACCAAACTGGTAGGGCTCTGCTAAGACTGCTTTGGAGTATAGTGT